CCAGCCCCCAGTTTCCCTGGGCTAAGCGGCTCCGCCCCACTTCCCGCAACCTGTCAAGGATTGCGTCCCCCACTTACACGAAGGAAGGGACTTCCCAAATCCGTGTACCAAGCTCTGTCTTCATGGAGACATCTCGCACCTGGGAAGGTTATCTCATCTGCCAGTTCTATGGCATGGCCCCTCCTGCGTCAAAGGTCTTCCAAGCCCTTAACCCTATTTGGGACAAAAAAAGGGAAATTGATTGTTCGCAGGGCCAGTGACTCTGCCTGCCTTGTCCGTGTTTTGGATTTGGCTACCAGGGAATGGGTTCTCGAGGTGGGCATATGGTGAGTGGCGGATGTGATGTTCACACTCTCCGAATGGACCCCTGTTGCTTCTCTTCGAAAGCCTGCTTTGAGCTCGGCTCCAATCTGGGTCACGCTTAAGCACATTCCGGCTGAATTGTATTCACTAAAGGGTATTAGCTACATCGCCTCGGGCATTGGAGAGCCTTTACACACGGATAGAATGCGTCTTGACCCCCTTACTATTGGAGAAGCTCGGGTCAAGATCGAAATTCAACTTGGTAACCCTTTGTCGCAGACTGTCGAAATTGAAGATGATAGTGGTGAGATTGCTGCAGTCCAAGTGGAGTACGCGTGGCTCCCCCCTCGCTGCTCTCGATGTAACGACTTCGGCCATAAGGTTTCCCATTGCCCGATGAGGGATCAGAAGATTGATGTTGATGCCTCGGTTTCTCCTCCAGAACCTGTCGCTGCTGTGATTGACCCTGAACAAACATCACCCACTCAGCCAGATATCCCGCCCCCTAACACTCCTGCCTCTCCACTACCCATTCCCCACTCGGCTGATCATTCCCCCTCTAAGGCTGATCAGATTGTGATTCCCCAGACCTCACCCCTAGCTACTAAAACACCCTCCCCCTCCCAAACCAGATCGAGTTCTGTAGCTGATGACCAAATAGTACAGGAAGCTCAACGGCTACTCCGCTCCCGTGTAGTACCCTGCCCTAACGACCCGCCTGCCACCAACCCTGGCAAAGGCTACGTCAACTAAACTCCTGGATCCCATGCTGATTTTGGACACTTTTTGGAAGCTTGTCTTTTGGTAGAATAGTTAGAATGAAGATTTTTTGCTGGAATGTACGCGGTCTTAACGGCTCCTTAAAACAAAGAAGTGTTAAGACCTGGATCTCCTCTCAAGGGGTGCTTATAGGAGGCCTTATTGAGACTCGGATTCGTGATGAAGCAGAGTCCGCCCGCATAGCTAGCCATATTTTTCCTGGTTGGCAGTCCACTACGAATTTTGGTTCGGCTCCGTTGGGGAGAATTTTGATAGCATGGGATCCTATCTTCTCGGTTGTTGTTTACAAAGCCTCGGCTCAAATGATCACTTGCGGCGTTTTCAACCTCAGTAACCAGGAATATGTTACAATATCCTTTGTCTATGCGAAAAACACATCGAATGAACGACGAGAACTTTGGGATGAAATCTCCTCTCTAGCATCCAACGGTTTGCTAACGGAAAGACCTTGGATGCTTATAGGAGACTTCAATCAGATCTTACGACCATCAGAGCGTGCATCGCCGTCTTATCCATTTACCCCTCACTCTTGCATGGTCGAGTTTCAGAATTGTCTGTATAGCAACGGCCTCTTTGACCTTGCCTCCCGAGGAAGACACTACACATGGACTAATAGCAGTGTAGAGAATCCGATTGCACGGAAGCTTGACCGAGCGGTTGTCAATGAAAATTGGTTGCTCACCTATGCTGATTCATATTCCACTTTTGAAGCCCCTGCTCCCTCGGATCACTCCCCTTGTGCGGTCACTCTTCGCCCGGAGTTGGCTTCCAGAAGACGAACAAGTTTTAAGTTCCTGAACTGCCTTATGCAGCTGCCTCAATTTCGGCCGCTTATGGAAAATGCCTGGACTTCAAACTCGGTGACGGGATCCTGCATGTACCGGCTTGTCTGCCAGCTTAGGGCACTCAAAGCTCCCCTAAGAAATCTCAACCGTAACTCTCTCAGCAATATTCAGCAGAGGGTTATTGGCGCTCTACGGGAACTCCATAATGTGCAGGATATACTCCTTGACAACCCGACTATTCAAACAGCCACCTCTGAAGCAAGGTTGCGGGCCACTTGGTCAACCCTTGCTGCAGCTGAAGAGTCCTTCCTACGACAGAAGTCCCGTATACGTTGGTTGCAAGAGGGAGATCAGAACACTAAGTTCTTCCACCGCACAATCCTATCGCGACGGGCCACTAACGCCATTCGCTTTCTTGTTGATGATGCAGGTCACAAAATATATGACAACACCGCAATGAAATCAATGGTCGTCGACTACTTCAAGGGTATCCTTGGAACCAGTGACCCAAACATCATCTGCTTGTCGGCCGAAGAGATCAGTAGGATACTTCCCTATCGGTGCCCAGAGGATGCAGCTCGATTCATGTCTGCAATTCCCACTGACGAGGAAATCAAATCTGAGGTTTTCAGCTTGCCTCATAGTAAGGCGCCTGGACCTGATGGCTTCCCGGCGGAATTCTTTACTGGTTGCTGGGATATTGTTGGACGCGATGTCATAGCGGCTGTCAAGAAATTCTTCACTTCTGGAACCCTTCTCAAGCAATGGAATACCACGCTTATCACTCTCATTCCCAAGGTCAAGGCTGCGGATTCTCTGAGGAATTTTCGCCCCATCTCCTGCTGTAATACGATATACAAAATCATCTCCAGGATCCTTGTACGGAAGCTGAAGAAAGTGATGCCATTAGCTGTTGCACACAATCAAACAGCTTTCATACCTGGGCGCTCAATATCGGAGAACATTCTGCTTGCCACGGAACTTGTATCAGACTTCTCTTCTTCAGGTAGACCACGAAAGGGGTTGTTAAAGATTGATCTGCGCAAGGCGTTTGATTCGGTCCACTGGGATTTCACCCTCAATGTGCTTCAGGCCATGTGCATTCCTAACCGGTTTATCAACTGGATACGGGAACGCATAACTTCGCCCACTTATTCTGTCTCCTTTAATGGTGAAACTACAGGGTTTTTCGCAGGAAGGAGGGGACTTCGTCAAGGGGATCCGCTCTCACCTTACCTCTTTGTTTTAGTCATGAAAGTCCTGTCAAAACTGTTGGATTGTGCTGTCATGGAGGGGCGGATCACTCTCCTTCCGAAGTGCAAGTCACCACTAATCTCCCATCTCTGCTTTGCTGATGATGTACTAGTTTTTTCTGACAGCTCGAGGCGCTCTTTATCAGAGGTCCTATCAATCTTTGACACTTTCTACACTATTTCGGGGCTAAAACTCAATAGGCAGAAAACCTGCCTATTCTTGGATGGTGGGAACACTGCTGCGGTGACCTCGCTTGCAGAGGATCTAGGCGTCACATCGGGATCACTCCCGATCCGATACTTGGGCCTTCCCCTCATACCGACCAAGCTCCGAGAGAGAGACTGCTCGCCCTTGACGGATGCTATCCGCGGTCGTATGTGTTCATGGACTGCCAAACACTTGTCCTTCGCAGGACGCTTGCAGCTGACCAAATCTCTCATCTACAGTGTCATTAATTTCTGGGCTTCCTCTTACATTCTTCCGTCCAACTGCCTTCGATCCATTGAACGTATGTGATCTGCTTTCCTTTGGACTGGTCTGCCGGACTCGGCAAGAGGGGCTAAGGTGGCATGGGCAGTTATTTGCACGCCAAAAAGCTCTGGCGGGTTGGGACTCAAGAGACTACAACCCTGGAACAAAATATTATGCATTAAGCTTATTTGGTCATTGTTTACAAAGAGCGGCTCTCTTTGGGTCGCTTGGGTCAAAGGACACCTGCTGAAACGTAGACCATTCTGGGCTCTACGAATTGGCGGACAGGGGAGCTGGGCTTGGTGTCGCATCCTCAAGCTTCGCCCGATGGTTCATGGCCATATTTGGTGTCGGGTCGGAAAAGGGGACTGCTGTAGCTTCTGGTATGATCAATGGTTACATATTGGAAGAGCTATTGACCTTCTTGGTGATGGTGGTCCGCGACAACTTGGGGTTCCAATTTCAGCATCGGTGGCTATCGCTGTCTTGGGCGAGGGCTGGGCCTTCCACCCGGCACGTTCGGATGAGGCTCTTTCGCTACAATGTGCGATCTTGGATCGACAAGTCCCCTCACCCTCGGGCCAAGATGACCTATACTACTGGTCGGAGTCTTTCTCCGATACCACCATGCCTAATTTCTCCACAGCTAAGGCATGGGCCAAGTTTGAGCAGCCTCCTCCACGCGTACCGTGGTTTCGAGGCATTTGGTTTCCTAAAGCGGTGCCAAAGCACTCCTTCATTTCCTGGTTAGCAGTCAAGAATCGGTTGCCGACTGCTGACTGATTGTGTTCTTGGGGCATCAACGCCCACCCAATCTGCTGTCTCTGCTCGGTTGATCCTGAATCGACTGAACACCTGTTCTTCAACTGTCTCTACTCCTCGGAAGTATGGCCATCAGTGATGGGTGATTTCAGCCACTTGTTTGCGCACAACCAATCACTATTGGATCAGATACACAAACTGATCAATTTCCAAGGTGACCCCCTCATCAAACTCATGCTCTTACTGCTCTTCCAAGCTTCTGTATACACAATCTGGTCGGAACGAAATGCAAGGGTACATGGTTGCGCCGCTCGACCGTCGGCTGTCCTCCGTCAAGATATCCTGCGAATCACTCGGCGGAGAATCAGTTCCCTCCGCCACTCCCTCGGCCTTAATACTGAGGATGGGCCTGTAACTACCTAGTTTCGTCACTTTGAAATCGCCGCTTGATCATCTATAGCTCTGTAAACAACTACCCCAACATGTATATTCAATTTGACATCAATGGAATTTACCTTTTAACAAAAAAAAAAAAGAAACTTTTGGTGTTATGGGTCTGGTTTTTATTTTATTAGTTACTGTCGCTATATGTAGTTGATGAATTTATATCAGTACTGCAGGGTTTTCATAACACGGGACTTACAATTATGCAGTAGAATGCTCTTCTTACAGGTTAACATAAAATCCAGTCTGACGACTGATATTCACGATATTGTACAACCATCTGAATCGTCAGGATTACAGAAGCATATCTCGTCTTCTACTTTCTACTATCTTCTCGATTATACAAGTAGTTTTAATATAACTGAGCAGAGTATAATGATGTAAATGACTCCTCAAAGTTTTCACTTTTTTTTTTCCATAAATCCAACTTGATCAATGCAGCACGATGATCATTGTCACAGTGTTCTTCGATGTTGTAAGTCTCTTTGACCATATGTGCCAATTACTGAACGTTTAGATACCCTTAACATAAGGGGGTATCGCTTATGTATTGGCGCCCGAGAACAGCTCGTTGCTCTCTAAACTTTCTTCATTCTCATTCACCGCTACATTGGGTCGAAACCCGGGAGCTTTTTCCACAGCAAAACTCAGCCTCAGTGGTCGCCCTTCCACCTCCTAGAAAATCCCAAAAACCTGAACTAGTAAGTTTCAATCCTAAAGCATCCTACTACAGATTAATCAGAACCCATAGTTAGAAACCAAACTGATCTATCTTCGAATGGAATGATCAAATCTATTCAATTCGATGAAAGGGTATTTAGCCTGTGGGCTGGATGCAAAAAGAGTGAAAGTCTTACCACACCGTTCATGGCATCTAGGGCAGACTGAACAGCATCAGTTGACTCAAAAGATATGAAACCAAACCCTCGGGATCTCCCCGAGTTCCTGTCATAGATGACTTTGGCACCAAGTAAACCAGGTTGGTTTGCAAATGCATTCTTCAGACCCTGTGAGGTTAGGCCCCAACCGAGATTCCCTGCATAGATCTTGTGAGGGCTGTCGACATAATCCCGGTTATTATCCCTAATCCGGACTCTCATCACTTCCCTCTCTCCGCCCATTGGAACCTCCGGGAAGTTCACTTTCACGGTCCGTCCTCCTATTTGCTACAAATCATAGTAATATATACTATCAGAACACAATCATTTCATTCGCCAAAAGCTTCAAATTCAGGCTGAAATGCTTCGATGGTGATGAACTTACAGAGCCATCGAACATCTGAATGGCCTCGTTAGCCTCTTCACTGGTTCCCATGGTCACGAAGCCAAAGCCCCTGCTTCTGTCAGTAACTTTATCATACACAATCTGCAAAACGTAAAACGCCATGTGATGCTTTAAGAAACCATTAACAAAGTATAATCCGGAATTATTTACTACAAAAGTGTAGCCCAGATCCAAAAAATTCGTAATATACCCAGAGGAATCTGTTCGATTTGAGAAGAAGGTTGAATCCAAAACTCCAATGTCAATCAACAAATTGGGTATATATCAACAGAATCATGATTTCCTACCACTCATTTCTAAAAATTTACAAGTTACAATCTAATTTGAGTTCAAATTCAACACACCGATCTATAAAAACAAGCACACTGCAAATGAAATAAAATGGGGAAGATAAGGAACCTGCACATCGACGACATTGCCAGCTTCTCCAAAAACTAGAGCGAGCTCCGAAGAAGTCATCGCATAAGGCAAATTCCCAACGTACAATCTCCCTTCTTCACCACTCGCTTGCGTTTCCGGTGATTTCCCTTCGTCTTCATCCTCCATTTCTTCTTCTTCTTCTTCAATGGGCTCTTCGGAGGCTGAGATTTCTTCACCGTCCCAACCATTTCCGGAAGAGATGGCGGCGGAGAAGTGGTGGCGACGGAGTTTGGGGAGGAAGAGAAGCAAATTAGGGTTTTGGCGGAGGAGTTTGAAGGGTTTTGGAGGGAAGCGATGGTGGAATTGGATTTGAGAGTGGAAGGAGAAGAAGCGGTTCGAAGCGGCAGAGGAGGGTACGCTTGCGACGGCGACGGAAACGGCAGCGTACGGAGAATAAGCCGACGACATGGTTTTGAGATTTGGGGTTTACGAAGATGAGTATGGTGGATTTTGTAGGTTTGTTAGGAGTGAGTGTGGATAAGGTTTCTGGAAACATAAATTAATAAATTGATTATTTTTTCCCGTAAAAAGTTTGATTAAAAAAAATATCGCCAAAAAACTCTATAGTCTTCCTACCTCAACGAGAAAATAATATAATGGTGGAAAAAAGCCCTTTTTTTGTAGAGAGAGAAAACTCTCTCACTTCTCTCTACCCCTTTGAAACCCTAGCGTACTTCTCGGGCGGCCGCTTCCCGGCCTCCCCCATCCTTCGCAATTGCTCCCCGACTGCAATCCAGTTCAGCACCGCCATCTCCTGGTATTCTAGGGTCCCACCCCTCTCCATCTTTTTTTTTCTCCTCCTCTCTACCTTCATCTCCTCCCCCACCTTCAACAGTCACCATATCTGCGACGCTCTCTCCAAATATTCCCCATCCGCTCCATAACTCCGAAAGGATACCTAGCCCTAGCTACGAGACTGCTTTTCCGGCCCTTCCCGCTCGCTCCCCTGCTGCGCCTCTTTCCACTTCCTCGGAGCAGCAAAACCCCAGATCTCTTCTCCCCCTTCTGAAATCCCAGCCCCAGCGGTTGGCGAGATTGTTCCCCCTTCTACAGCTCCCCCAGCTAAACCTGACAGCTGGAGTCATTGTCTTCTCAAGTCTCTGAAGCCGCTGCAGAGAATAGGATCCCCTGTAAAGCACTCTTCAGGGGTACCACTGATCTCGATTCCGGCTGAAACTCTTGAAGCTTCAGCTTCATAATGGGCCGAATTTTATGGTATACCACCAGTTATGGGACGCATTATCGGCATCACCAACGCGCTCTGGTCGAAGGGAGGGCCCCGAGTCAGGGTGTTTGATATCGGCAACGACACTTTTCTATTTTGCATGCCTAACAGAGCAATCAAGGATACTGTGCTGAGTAGGAGCTTCTGGCACATAGCCTCATGCCCCATGTATGTCTCCCCATGGAGCCCATACCACACTCCAACGAAATCAGTGCTGACATCCATGCCCTGTTGGGTCACGTTTCGCCGACTGCCCCACCAATTATTTAGCTCGGAGTGTCTCAGCCGTATTGCTACTAGTATCGGCGACCCTTGTGTTAGAAATCTAGGCGAATAAATTCGATCAAGTTATAGTAACCTAGACTCAACAATTAACCACAAGTGTACGGATCGTATGTAGTAGCTAGGGTCGAACACAGGGACAAGTAAACAACTGAATCAGATTCCAATCCAAATCTAAATCTAAAGAAAATATGAGGATGATGAGAATGTATCAAAAGCAAATAATAAAAACAAACGATAAACTATCAATGGCAAAACACTGCAGGCTTCGGGATTGCTTTACATGTAAGGATCTTTCAAAAGATGCAAACTAAATGGTTTATCTATCAGATTCAGGGAATTAAAGCTCTAAAGTAGAGATTAACTCTCTCGAGTCTAACCTCACTATCCAAGCTTTATCCTACTAATCTCTCGATTCAATAGTCTAAAACCCTGGATGCATGAACGAACGCTATCATAATCCCTAGGCAAATATTCATCTCTCAATGCAATACATGTTCTATTTATTGAGTTATTTACAGGTTAGAATCTCATATGTCAATGCGAATTAAAACTCTAAGTTCATTCAATCAAGTGGCCAACAAGATCAAACGCATTAAACGCAACTCAATAAACCGAATAGAATAAATAAAACCACAAAGTCTGGAATTAGAAACCAAAGATCCCTACATAGCAATTCCCTAACCTACAGTAAAGGAATTACTCGCTAAACATCGAGACGTCGGGGTTCATATCAATACAACAAAACATCGTAAAATAGAAGGAAAGAGGAACGCTTAGTCGATTTCTCGGCTTCGTGATCTCCGTCTTCTACTCCGATCTCTTGCTTCCTGATAATCGCCCCCTTTTGTGTGCTCTAGGGTGTATTCTCTGTGTAAAGCTTGAATTCCTTCGACCTAGGATGCTTTCCCCCTTTATTACCCTTCCTTTTGGGTAAAATTGGAAGTATTCCCGAATCTGGGGGTCAAACCGATCATTTCGGGCCAAATCAAACCGATCGTTTCCACTTTCTGAGCAATTTTCCGATTCTGTGGAGCTGAACCGATCGTTTCATAAACTCCAAAACGATCGATTCATGTTTCTGATGAGTTTTGACGGGCTTCACGAATTCGCTTGTAACTTCCTGCTCCGATGTCGGATTTGGGTGATCTTGGTGTGTATGTGCGTAGATATTGAGAAGATCTCTCAAATGATATATAGAACGCATGATTTAGACTTATAGAGCGAAAGTTATTGGACTTGCAAGATCTGACGTTTTCTGAGCTTCACGTTTTCCCTGAAAACACTCCAAATGTTCCCGTTTCGTCCGTGATGTTCCGTATTCCATGTTTTCCACTCCTTTTGCTCTTTTTATATCTGAAAACCTATTTGAACACCAAAGAATACAACCATCCAATATTGAAGCCAAATATGCCCTAAAATGCCTACAAAAATGTAAACCGAGTGAAATACATTAGACATCTTATATCAAAACATCACACAAAATATGTGTTATCAAACTCCCCCAGACTTAAACCTTTGCTCGTCCTCGAGCAAATACTCCGTGAAAAACTGTCTGAATGGAGAGCGAGACAATGACATAACTAAAAATGATAATCGAGAGCGAAACCTCTATCCGACCTAGATCCCCGTGAACAATGACCAAGTCTGTCTATTATGATCTCAATCTCTCTAAAGGATAGTCTTTCCTGACCATGGGATCTATACCGCTACCGAGAACCAATCTAAGGATGTCAATCATCTATTAAGCGTGTTTCTCGAACCTATTACACCATCCTACCTAATCGTATCTAGTCTACACTTTCAGCATTCATTCTTTTTCTTCTTCCTTCTTTTTATTTTCTTTCATCTAGCTAGATTTTTTTTCTTTTGCTAGCATCTCGGGTTTCTAGGACGTTGAAGTTGAAGGGTTCCTAATAATTTTTTTTGATTTCTTTTATTGAATAACCCGACCCACAACTTAGACCCGAACCATCGAATTGATGCACTCATGTCCTCGAACGATTTTCGTTGACGAGATAATGACAGCGGAGTGTTGAGATGCTCACTATCTTTTTCTGCAAATAAAAAAAGAATAATGCATTTGATAATAGACTTTACCGATTTTGGCAAACATGGAAACGGTTCTTATAGAAACTTTTCTACTTGGCTAGACAACATCGGTCCCATGGGTTCCAACCAACGATTTCTACCCCACAAGCTATTCTAGACAATCCTAAAGGTCAAGCAATCAATTCAACAAAACATAACCACGTTCAACGGATCACAATATTTTCAGGACGTTTTTACTCTCTCAATGCTCAAAACGGTTTTATACACGTGATCTTATATGTCCTAAACACTATGTGTAAATGGATAGTCCTAAAAACAAACTATATGATCCTAGAACATTCTATATGCACATGCAACTAAAAAGTGAAAAGAAAAAGGAAAACAATGCATGCAACACTACTCTAAATAGATATGGTTTGGCTTTAGACGAATCCTCCCCCAGACTTGAACTAGACACTGTCCTCGGTGTCAATTCTCATCTAGTAGAGGCAACCAATAAGATGAGTCAAGAGAGAAGTAAATTAAAAAGGGAAAAGAATATTTAGCTCGCGATGTTCGTTCACTCGCACTTAAGTCTGCCTACGTCTATCGCATAGCTAGCTTCCTTGCCTCCTCAATAGCTCCTCATTAGAACTCAACCTGGTGATAAGAGACACAAACCAATATCCGATGCAAAAAGAAAAAGAAAGGGAAGAAAAACTAACCTAAGAACTCGGGTTGCCTCCCGGAAGCGCTTGTTTAAGGTCGTTAGCTTGACTCGTCTTGCTCATGTGGGAGGGGGTTCAGGGGGAATGGTTCTTGGAGGAATGGTTTTAGGTGGAATGAGATTAGATGGGACAAACTCACCTGACTTGGTATGACTTCGATCGATGTGATGTAGTTCTTCATTTACCTTATCGAGCAACCGAAGATTGAGTGGTGGTAATTGGGGGTCAGGATGGAAGTCCGATGGAAGAGGTGGTGGATCTCCTTGAACATCAGTTTGGGGAACTGCTCGACCTGAGATGGGAATGGTCTCAGACTAGTAAACAACCAGTTCAACCTTATGTGATTTCACCTCGAATTTTCACTTTTGTGAACATGGTTGATCAAACTGAACATCTTCATTGTGTTTCTTTAGGCGTGAAGGGAACGGAACCGGTGGTGGTTTTGGCGGTGGAGGCACATATATCGGTTCTGTCTCTTTGTAGTTCGTCCTTGAATGCTCATCTGCGGTCAAAACGTCAGGCGTACAATCCAAATAAGCATTAGAACACTCACCCCTTTTTGTGACTAGGTTTGGTTGCTTGACTTTGGCTCTGATGTGGTGTGACTGGGTTTGCCTCTGTGCCAGCTGGGACACTGATCACACGGGTTTTTCACCGGTTTTTCAACGTCACACACTTTGATTTTTCCTTACATCTTAGGCATAATAGGACGTTAGACGGTCATGGGTAGGATTCTTTTCTCCATTTCCCTTGCAGGATGATCGAACGAGGATATTTGCGCACATGGCACGGAAAAGGAGCGGAATCGAGAAGTCCCGGGTAGCTCAGAGGAAATGAGCGGCCCGCTCGTTATAACGAGCGGTCGCTCGCTGTGGCAGCCAAGAAAACGGGCGGTCGCTCGGAGAATCAGGCGGTCTTTCTATGTTAAAACGGATAACGATCGGTTGCTCGGTACACAAGGCGGTCACCTCAAGTTGCAAAGAAGAACGAGCGGTCGCTCGTACATATGAGCGGTCGCTCACCCTGAAGAAAACGAGCGACACTGAAGAGAAAATGGGCGACCCTGAACAAAAAGTGAGCGACCACCCGATATCAAATCCGGCCCAAAAAGAAAAAGTCCGATTTTTGAGGAAAAACCTAGTTTTTGCACTTACACAAAAAGGGGATTTTGAGGAGAGAGAAGGGGGACTGGAGACTTGGAAAGA